GGTGGTGATAAGGAAATGATACATCAATTACTTTTGGAGATTTATGATAAATATTATAGAGGTTAATAACAATCATAAGTGTTATAATAATCTTAAATGTTAGATGACTCATTATTAAGTTTGGGTGGAAACACTAAACTTTTAGCTAACAGTAAAATCTCCCAAGGTATATAATTGATTAAATTTTATTTAGCAAATTAATAAGTTGATTTATCAAAATTAGATCCAAAAAAAGATTTAAATAAAACATCAAATTGTTTAGAATTTTTTATAGTTGCTTTGGCTAAGAACTTGTAACTGTCAATCAAATAATCTGCTGCTTTATTTACTAATAATAACAAATATCTTGCTCACATATTGGCAAAAGGAGTAAAGGGTGTATTTGAACCAATTGTTGCCTTTTATAAAGAAACATATGCAAATGGAAATTAATTAATTAAGTTATTTAATGAGGATTCCACTAAAAAATCTCTTACATTTGCATTATAAGTATTTTATTATATATTAACATTATTATCAGGCTCTTAAACCAGGATTAATATCCAAATCATTTGATGTAGCTTATGAATCAGTTCGTTTATTCACTAGATTAGGTTCAATGATACCAGTATAATTATTAAGAGAATGGTTTCTTGAAGATTAAGGAGGTTTACATACAGCATTGATGGGTACTAGAAGACATCCAGAATTAGTTTCATTTCATGTTGAGATGATATAATAGTTTGCTAGAAATAATTTTGTTGAAGTATTTACAACAGGAATTAGAAATGTATTACCTGAAACAAAAGATTTCATAAATTCAATTGAATTAATATATATTCCTTTAAGTTAAAATTAAGAATTAGTTTCAACTGGTATTTTGAATGATTGGGTTACTTAATCTATAGGAATAGCAGAAAATGAATTTAAAAATACAATTGATACTAGAATATCTTCACTTAATTTTTTAAGTGAAGTACTTGGCAATATAGATTTAGATGAATCATTGACAAATACAATCATAGCTTTATTAAAAAAAGGATCTAGAGATAAATCATAATCTCTTTCTTTAATGTGTCTTAATCATTTATTTAAGTTACTTAATCATTTCAGTCTATAAAAGAGTAATTTTGCTCCACTTATATATAAAAAGTAAATACCATGTTAATTGTGTTTAGTTTAACATTGTCATTGGTGGAAAATCATGATAACCAATTAATAAGAGAATATATATTGAATAATTTCATTCATATCTTTTCAACCATGGAAGCAGTACCAATTAATTTAGTACTTGAGAATTTGATCAAATAAATGTAAACATCAGAGGGAGTAACTTATATATTAAATACATTTGATATGCACTTCTTTATGTTTGTATCAAATCTAAATATAGGAATTAAGAATGCTATTTAATTGTTAGATTTCTTAGCTAAAATATTTTTAAATAATCTAGTTTATTAGAGTTTATCTTCTGAAATCATAATTAATATATTATCAAAGAATGTAGAGAATTAGACTATGTAAGAATTTATTTTAAAGTTTGTAAAAATTGCATTGGCTATGTTTTTTGCATCTGAAAAAAAGAGATAAGCAAAGGATCCAATTGGTGCATAAAAACGTAATTAAATAGTTGAAATTGTTAGAACAATTATATAATTTTAATAATAATTATTAAATGAGAAAATAAAACCATTAATTGCACATACAAATATTCAAATAAAATAATTTAGTAAAAGAAATTCAAAAGGAATGATGGCAATATTAGAATTATTTGGAAATGCTGAGAGAATATTAGAATAATATGAGATTGAATATCGTGAATAACAAGCAAGTAAATTGTAAGGACCTCCTGAAGATGATGATTAATTAGTTCCATTTAATTCTCGATCTATAGGATCTATTAAATTATCAAAGGAAGAATAATATTCTTTAGCTTCATTAAAAACTACTAAAGCAGATCCTAAAGTACTAGAAAAATTAGAAACCTTAAAAAAATAATTTGATGATAGAACTATAAGTGAAGCATAAAAAATAGAATAAATGAAAGAAGCTTAATAGAAATAAAAGACAAATCTTAGAAAATAATTAGAAAAGAGATCAATTGAATAAGGTGTGTCAATTACTAAAGATAGAGAAACTAATTTAGTATTTAAAGATGGATCTAAAAGTGCAGCTTAACCAAATAAACATGGATTAACAGAATATGAAGTATGGGATTTATAATTAGAAGAAGATAGAGAACGTTATTTAGTTGAATAACTCTTTAGAAAATATCATAAGATATTTAAATATGTTTTCTTTAAATATGCTAATTCAGGAAATAAAATTATAAAACCAAAAAATTTTGATGAATTAAAAGATTAATCAGATACTATAAATGAACCTGAATTGTGGGCATTTCTTAAAGATTATGAATTAGTATTTAAAGTATCTAGAGAATAAGTACATGCTTTAATGAGATCTATTGCAATTTAACTTTTGAAATGTAAAAATGAATTGACAAATTTCAATTATGAAGGATTTAAACATTTTATTACTTAATATGCTTGTATTCTATTTACTAAGAAAACTAAATATATTTAACCACATACTTGTATTGAAATGATGATTCAAAGAATGAAATAAGTTACAGCAGCAAAAGGATAGAATACTTAACTTTATGATGATCCAGATAATATGTTTTTTGATTAAAAAGATGTTATTAAAGAATTCAATAAAAAATTAGCTGAAGATCCAAAATATGTATTACCAGAAGGTTATAAAACTTAGAAGGAAGAAATTATTAAATTTAATTATGCATTTGAATTATAAGATTCAAATACAATTGCATATTCAATTTTGGATGATATTGTTTTTAAAATTTGTAATTGTCATTTAATAGAGCCAATAACCTCTAAAGAATTTTAACTTGTATGTAGACCAAATATGTTGGGATATGTAGAATCCAAAGTTAAATAAAATTTAGAAAAAGATCATTATATGGAATAAAAGAATAAATCTATGAGGAAATCTGCTTCTGTTGCATAATCTTTGACAAATGTACCAACTTAACCAAAGAGAAATTTAGAAATAGAACCATTTAGATAATATAGTTTGGGTATCAAATTAGAATTGGCAAAGATACCATTTAATTAACATAAATAGAGATTATAAGTTGAACAGGTAGCTGATGTTTTGGAAGATATGATATTTGCAGTAGAAAACAATTAAAAAACTATTACAAGAAAATGGAATATTGTTAATAAGGTTTAATAGGAAAAATTGGAGGAAAAAAAGAAGGAAGATGAAGAATAAAGATTGAGAGATGAAAAAATCTAAAAAAATCATGAATAAGCTAAAGCCAAATTAGAAAAATTGAAAAAAGAAAGATAATAAAAATAAAAGGAAGAGGAAGCTAAGGCTGCTTAGAAAGATCCAAAGAAAATTCGTTAAGAAGAAAAGTAAAAAGAATAAGAAGCATATTTGAAATAATAAAAAGATAAAATTGCTTAAAAATAAAAGGAAGAGGAATAAGAAAGAATTAAAAGAGAATTATAAGAAAAAAAATAGAAAGCTGAAGAAATCTAGAGAAAAAAAGAGGAATTCAAATTATTTAATCAAAAGAAAATTGAATAATATGGAGAAATCTTTAAAGCTGAATAAATTAAAATTTAAATGGCAGCTGAAGAAAGAAAATAAATGGAAATAGATCATTAAAAAATGCATGAAGCTCTTTATAAAAATATAGAAAAGAAAGGTGAATAAATAAAAGTAAAAGAAAAGGCAACAAGTGAATTAATTGTAAAATTATTTAGAAATTAAACTTATTAAACAATTTTCACTAATAATAACTTTAAATTAAGTTATTTATATGAATTATTGTAATTGGAATATTTTAAATCGATTGAAATGATTGATTTTAAATAAATTCCATTAAAATTATGGATGTGGTTTGGAGATAGATTCAGAATTTATCCTGATATTATATCACAAATTGAATTCATAAGAGTCTTTAATGCTATTACATATAGATCTAATGAAATACCAGCATCTTTAGATTATGTAGAATTTTTAGAAGCTCTATTTAGAATAAGTATAAAAGGATATGAATTCTTTAATAAATTAGCAAAAAGCATTAAAGAACCAAAACCATAAAAATAAGAGAATTAAGAATAGCCTGAAGATTAATCTCCAAAATCAATAAAAAGAACTTAATAAACAAAAGAGTTTATGCTAAATAGAATTAAAGAGGTATAATCAGAATAAGAAAAAAGATTAGAAGCAGCAAAAAAGGAATTAGAAGAAAAAAAGAAAATGGATAAAGAAGCATTGATTTTAGATAATTATTAAGCATTAAATGATATAATTGGAACAGATAATATTTCAGGATAAAATTTTAATGATTAGACTTTGGATGCATTAATCACTTATTTGGCATTACCAAACGACAAAACTGGAATTGAGTTGAGATTCAGATATCTGATGGAAGTAGAAGCTAAAAAGAAACCAAATAAAATGAGAAAACAAGGTAATAAATAAATTTTATAGTTTAGATGCATCTAAAAGATTAGAAGAAGATATCAATCAATGGAAAGAGATAAAAACAGTTGAATAAAATAGATAACCAATTTCGACAAGTATTCATAATATTAATAATATTAGAAAAATCAAAGTAAAGTCCCAATAAACCTTAAGTATAATAAGATCCAATACTACCTTAGAATAACGAGGAAAATTAAGAATAAGAATAAGAATAAGAATAATAAGATAATTGATTAGTATAAATTATAAATTTTATTAAAATATTAAATTTAGTGTGACTTCAACATTAAATTTATTTATTAGAATTTATTGATTTTTATTAATTTTATCAAATTTTAAAACAAAATTACTTAAAAAAGAAACTTTGAGATATATGAATTAAAATGGTATAAGATACTGTAAATATTTCTTTCTTCCTTAAATAATAATATTTCTTATTGATTTATTAAAATGGATTATTTATTATAATAATTAAATTTAGCAAATCATATAACAAATCTATGGGATGCGTTCAAAATAAAGTTCCAAGTGCTGAAATTTCTATAATTATATTGAGTCCTCCTATCTGTGATTCACCATCAATTGAATTTACACTAAAACCATATTACAATGAGTAATTTCCTGCTGCTCATTTGCCTACTAATACATCTGTTAAATACTTTCATACAAAATTCATTTAATAGAGAAGGTTAACTTGGTCCACAAGATGTTAAACAATTAAAGATAAGAAAGAGATATATAATAATCAACCTTCTAATAGTTGCCCATACTTTTGATATTGATTAGTTAATTTATATTGATTTAGTTAATTTATATTGATATAGTTAATTGTCATTAGTATATATATATAAATATATAAAATTGTTTAATAAAATGAGAATGGTAGAGATTTTGAGATGTTTTTTAAAAATATTAAATAAATAGTAAAATCAATTTTTCCAATCGAATAAAAAGAAAGGTTTTTACAGTTTTTTTATAAACTTAAAATGAATCAGTGCTTATTACTTAATAATTTGATTAAGTTAAATAATTAAATATATTTTCTTTTCTGATGCAAGATTTTAAACCTGGAGATATAATTGCTTAAGATTATCAAATTTTGAGTTTATTATCGCAAGGTTCATTTGGAAAAGTATATTTGGGTAGATCATAATCGATGAATCTGAAAGTGGCGATAAAAGTTGAAAAGAGTGAAGTTTCCTACTTTAATAGTTTAACTCATGAAGTATAGTTAAAAATTAAAAGATATATAGGTAGAAGTTTTGAAACTCTTACAAGATGTTCAATAAGTGCCTAAAATTTATTGGTTTGGATAAGAGATGAACCTCAAAATAATGATACAAAACCTTTTAGGCAAGGATCTAACTCATTATTATAAGAAGCTTAAAAGGTTTTCTTATGAATGTGTATGTAATATTGCTTATCAAATGATAAGTATTTTGGAATAAACTCATGAAAAGTATAACTAATTTAAAATTTAGAAATATAATACATAGAGATCTAAAGCCAGAAAATATACTTGGAGCATCTCTTTCAGACAAAATTTATTTAATAGATTTTGGTATAGCAAAGAATCTTTAATAGAACAAAAAGAGCAAAGAGAAAATTTCTTTCATAGGCACTACAAGATATGCAAGCTTGGCAGCACATCTTGGTAAAGAACAAAACAGAAAAGATGATCTTGAGTCTTTGGGTTATATACTTATCTATTTTCTCAATGGCTAATTACCTTGGATGAATATAGAAAAACAAGACAGCGAAAGAATTGAAAAAATTGGTCTTATGAAACAAGACATCTCTCCTGAAGAATTGTGTGAGAATCTGCCATCGCAAATATTAAAGTGATTTTGTTTCTCTATTCTTAGTATAGGTATATGAAATATGTCAAAGGACTATCAGTTAGAGTTAAACCTAATTATATATAATTGAAAGAATTATTTAAAGTTGAAAGTTAAAATGATACTATGCCCTTTGATTGGAACAAAAAGATTAGAATTAATAAGAGAATGTAATCAAATAAATCCATAAAATCATCTAAATCTGCAAAAATACTAAATAAATCAAAATCATAATTTCATAAAACTTAAAATAATATTCAACAAGAATCATCATAAAAGTTAATAAATTAACCTTAAACACCTGTTTAAAAATAACATTAAACCTTTGTATTTCCTGATTAAAATGATAAAACACTTTATCATTCAAGTGATGAAAATTAACAATAAAATAGTTTAAGTGATTAGAATAAAGAAAAAGAAAGCATAAAAGTAGGTTATTCTATAAGTTATGAACCATCTAAATTTTCAAGATATTCAATACATAATAAAAGTCCAATAATGCAGTAATAAAAGGAAAGAGCTAGAGTGTCAACTTTGGATGCAAATCCTCAAGATTACTTTATAATGAATTTTTAAACTGAGTAACAATTATAAGAATTAGAAAATTAAGATTTAGCAATCAAGTATGATAGGCTATACTATTAATCAATACTTTACAATCACAAAAATCCTATTCTAGAGTTTAAAAATAGTAAGTGTCATATTTTTGATTGATTATTTTTTGTATAAACAATATTTTTTCTCATAAAACATTTTAAGAAGATACAAATTAATTATCTCATACAAAATTATTTATTAAATGTATACAAGATATTTCTGACCTTCATAAGGAAATTTTAGATTATCTTTAGTATAATAATTAAATTAGAGAATTTCACATGAATCATCGTTAATCTAAATCTAAATATGAATTCGATGAAATGATGCTATTAATTGAAAATGATTCCCCTTTGTAAAGTGTTCATAAAAAGAATAGTTCAGCATTTAAGAATTTAGATTTATGTGAAATACTGAATGATGAAACTGAATAATTTAATTATTCTGCTAAAAGCCTATCAGAAACTTAGTCGAAAACTTAAATATGACTTTCGTTTATTTGTTAGTGACTAATTAAAATATACTGATTAAACATAATGAATAATTATATTTTGTCAGATTTATAAGTCTCAATTTTATTGTTTTAAATTAATATTTAAAATAAATAATGGGCTGCATGAACTCTAAAACTTCTTATAAATCTTAACCTCATTCATCTACAAAGACTCAGATATAAATCTAATAGAATACTCAAGACGAAAGTCCTTATGTGATTAAAAAGAACCCAATATTTCAAAGAAGAGCCTCCTCAAAATCCATCGTTAGTCCTTTATAAACTGCCTCTTTTATCCACAGAAATAAGTGAATCATAAACTTAGAATGATCTTTCTTTTATATTACAATCCTTAATTTATTAAATACAATTCTTTATATTATAACCAACAATAAAATATCAGAAAGTTCTCAATTTAATTAACAATCTCTAAAAGTTAGATTGAAGATTATCTAAAGCCAGCTTAATAAGATCAGTTATAAATGTGGAACCAACTATTAATTTAATAAATTGAGTGAGTTTTAATTGTTATTTATTTTAAGTTGAGACATGATAAAAATAATATTCATAATTCAATATTTATCAAAAATAATTTATGTAAATCAATAGCTTTTTCTTATATATTTCCTTATTACAATTTCCTGCTCAACATCATATAATTACTCCAATAACAACCCCAAAAGTAAGTACATATATGAAAGTGCTCAAATCTCTTTCTAAAATATAATAAGGAATTCAGTTTTTGTATTTTTAAGAATTTCCTTTAATTAAATTCCAGATTAAAAATTCCATATAAGGCTAGTTCTGTTTATTATTTAATCTAATTTATATTTTGATTGATTTCTTCATTTAATTTCAAATAATACATAGTGGCTCTTCTTTTTAAGGAACAAGCAAATCGTTTCGTTTTAAATATCCTTTAAAAAAATTTGACACTATTTTAAATTTGGGAAAGTTATAGTATATATTCTGCTTCGTTTTAAAAATTCGTCATTTATATTAAAGAGTCTTTACAATCATAAAAAAACTGGTTATTGCATAATAAGTTCTTAAATAAATTAATGGAACATAAAATTATCTGTAGAATCTGCAATTTGCCAATAAAGATTGATTTTCTTAAATTACACAACGAAACATGCAAAACTCGTGCTGAGTATAGAAGAAAGGAAATCAAATTGAATTTACAAGTTGCTAAAGTTTGTGAAAATGCTTATAAAAAAAAGCACTAAATTCATTCAAGGGGTTAAAAATAGTATTGAATTTCTATCTAAAATAGTCTTAATAGTCTTCGATTGAAATGGGATTAGATGTCACCTGAATATACATAGGAAATATATTAAGAATATAAAATACTTCAAGTCTTAATTTCTTATGGAGAAAGGACATTAAATTCAGAGGTAGATGCTAAATGTATTTTAATATATATTTATATTAGATCATCTTATATCTCAAAATGAATTCATATAAGCCTAACAAATTATAAGAAACCCTTAGATATTGAATTTGATAGAGCAAATGAATAGTCTGATAAATTAGAGATTAGACTTATGCTATAAAAGTATTAAATTTTGTAATCCTAGCAAAATTTCAAAGCATTCCCAGCATTTCCTTTAGATTAAGCAAGTTCAGTAAAGACAGTCCTAAATCTAATAGTGAAACTCATAATAAAATGAACTCATTTTCTGATTATTTGAATTCTTCAAAGTATAAATTATGACATAAGTCAAGTTTTTCAGAAGATACACAATCAGATAGAAAAAGTATTTCTAGACCAGATACTCCAGTCAAATCGAATTCGATAATCAATAATCTAAGAAAAAGAGGTAAATTGTTAGAATGGCCAAAGAGATAGTCTACATTTTCATCAGAAGGTGATTAAATATCAGAAAAACCAAAACATAGACAAGAAATATAAAAGAAAAGTTATTTTGCTAAAAGTGGAAGTTCAGATAGTGAACCAGATGATATTATAGATACTATTGTAGTAGTAAATGAATCAACATAAAGAGAGGATGATTCAAATTTTGAATCTGCTTGTTTTATGGAATTATAAAGAGGATACTTTTCTGATACTGAAATAATTAGATTAGATGTTAAGAATAAGATAAAAGAAAGAAATATAGGTTTAAAAGACTTTAATTTCATAAGATAAATAGGATAAGGTGCATATGGTAGTGTATTTTTAGTAAAAAGAATAATAACAGGAGACTTATATGCAATGAAAATAATTAATTGTTGTAATAAAAGATTTGAAAGATTGTTGGAATAACTTAAATAAGAGAGAAACATATTTGAAATTTTAACAGGTGATTATGTAGTTAAAGCTTATTACTCTTTTTAACATGAATCATCTTTATGTTTTGCTTAAGAATATATGATTGGAGGAGATTTCTCTAAAATTCTCATAAATGAAGGAGTAAATTATTTTATTTATTCTCTAGGCTTTTGATGAGAATATTGCTAGACATTATTTTTCTGAAATACTTATAGCTTTAGAATATTTACATAATAATAATATAATACATAGAGATTTAAAACCAGAAAATATATTGTTAGATTAATAAGGACATATTAAATTAGCTGACTTTGGTCTTAGTGAATTAGGAATCAATAAAAAAATGATTAAGAAATGTAGTCAATAGAGTTTTTCATAAAGTGATTTATCTCCTTCACCAATATATCAAATGAATAAGGGAAGATCATTTAAAAAGTCAAATATAATTCCAGAGAATGCTGAAAGAAGAATAATTGGAACTCCAGATTATATTGCTCCTGAAATTATTAGTGGTTAATCATTTTCACATAAATCTTAAGATTTTTGGTCACTTGGAATTATTTTGTATGAATT